TAGAAATGATTTTTCTTTGTGATTATAGGAAAACTATTCATGTCAGATGCCACAAAAATAAGTGTGTGTCTGAAGAGGTGAACTGAAAGGCTCCCATAGAGAAAGCCTTGGTGGGCTCTCCCCCCACCCAAGCTCAGCAGCACTGACTCACAGTCACAGGTTCTATTTATACGTCCTGCCTTCATCACCAGTGTGTCCTGGTAAAATGTGTACCTTTCAGAAACTGAAGAAATAATTGGATTTCTTGTTTTCTTTGCCTAGAAGTCTTAGCCTTCCAGGTCAAACTTCACCTGTACTGCAGTTTCAGTTTATCATCGTATTTTGTTTACTCTCTTCATTACTTTACTGCTTTCTGAAAAGCTTGAGTACAGAAAAATTTTTAAAAATGAGAGGCTCTAAAAGTCATAGTTAATAATAACTTATCTCAAGTTTGTTCTTTTGTAGGGAAAATAATTTAAAGTTCAAGTCAAGTGATCCAATTAGCCTGACACCAGGTTGCATTTGGTCATGGTAGTATACAGCAGGCCCGCCTTGGGACGGAAACAAGGGATTTTCCTTAACAAAGAACCCAAAACCTGCTTTCTATCCGTCTCATCCCTGGGTGCCTGTGCATAGTGCTCAGGACCAGACAATGATATTGCCGAGTGACTGGCAAACATAAAAAGACCCACCTGTATTATCCGGAGCAGTTCAGTGTGTGTAAGGATCCCCAGGGCTGTTTGTTTAAAGGACAGATTCTTGGGGCCATCCTCTGAAGATGAGACTCTAGCAGGTCTAGGTTGGGGCCTGGAAGCCAGCTTCTCTCCAAGCACTTGGGGAGGGTGGCTGGGAAATGATCCATCCTCTGAGCACCCCCTGAGAAACATTTTCCCGAGAAGGGTTATGTTTCAGATCATCATAGAACGGTGGGTGCTTCGTGTGGCAGCAGAACAATAGGAAATTTAATTATTTTAATGAGGACCATTTGTACTAAGAACAGCCTTTGAACTTGTGGACTTGTTGGTAAGTGGATGAAGCGCCTTCCTTGGTAACCGCCATGCCCTGTAACTGATGTGCTGTCTCCCTGTACAGAGGAACCTGACGGAGTACTTTGTGGCGGTGGACGTGACCTGCATGCTGCAGCTGTACGCCAGCATGCTGCACGAGAGACGCATCATTGTCACCTGCAGCAAACTCAGCACGGTGAGCGCTTCACACCCTCAGCGCGCGCGGGCACTGCATTGAGCGCCGCACAAAAAGCCCTGCGAACCTCCACAGACTCAGAAGTGGTCTGCGTGTGCGCAGGAGACAATGTCCACATTTTTGGCATATGGTTTTCCTCTGGCTCTTGAAGTACAAAAGTCTGATTTATAGGAGGCCTTTGCAGATGCATTAAGGCAGGTTAATTATTTTTTCTTATCAGGAGATGAGAGTTTTTTTTGTTTTTTTTTTCCTTTTTTCTTTTTAACTCTCCAGAGTTCATTTTAGTGCTTTCTACCATATAAAGAATTCTTAAGAGCTATTATGGGATCTTTATTATTCACTTGTGGCTTTTTCCATTGGAGCTACTTGAAAGGAATCAAGGGCCATGATAATAGCCGCCACCTAACCTGGTAATAGGTAGATTCGTTTTGTTGCCAAGTAGTGGTTTGGGAGTGGATTCTATAGTAGTTCTGCTTTGGAGGGGCTCTTCAGACCGATAATAACTTAAAAGTCAAAGTAGCATTTTTTATTAATCACAGGTTTTATGCCACTCACTAAAATGTTCTTTTGGAAAGTCTTCATTGCCATGGTGAAGGCAGTGAGAATAGGAGTTTTCTTGGGTCACAGAAAAATATTCAAACGTGTTCTGCCTGATGTCCTAATTTTTTTCTACTTTAAGCAATAAAATGTTTAATATTTTTGATTTACTTTAAATGTCTTAATATAAATTTAAATAAAGCTTAGAATAATGAATGAGATATTTATTAAAAACCATTAGTTGATAGATATCACATGAACTTGGTTTCTTAAAAATTTGGTTATTTGATAAAAATAAGATAATATTTTTATGGTTTGTTCTATAGCAGAAATAAAAACCTCAGCGTACAAAATTTTAGTATTTTAGAGTAGAAAGAGTTCCAGGATTGCTCTAGGATATCTATTTAGTAGTTAATGACGAGAAAGGCATTTTCAGAGGTTAAATGGCCACCCTCAAAGCCAAAGAGATCATTGGAGGCAGGAAATGTGAAGCCAGTCTTCTGATTCTGACTTGGGGTCATTTCCATATTTCTACAATTGAAAAAAATACAAATTTGAGATCCTGAATTGAAATATTGGTATGCCCGCTTTTCCCAAAAGACTCAAACTGTATTGTTTTACCTATTTGAAAATACAACATATGCATTTAAAGGAGTAATTGGAGAAATGATGTAGTACTTTCAGAGAATAAGTACTAGTCAGTGACACAGGTAATTATTTGCATTTTCTTAAAGTGATATTGAGAAATTCAACCCAAATCATTGGGCACCTTTTATAAATTTGCTTTTCTGCTATTTTTCACTTACCATTGAAGGAAAACCTTTCTTTCTCCTCCTCTTCCTCCTCATCATTTTTAAAACATGATTTCTTTCAAGATTATAAAGAACATTTGTATATGGATATTGTCCTGAAGATTAAAAAGATTGTCTTAGGGGCCTAAGAGCTAAACTCCTATCAAGCTTGATTTATGTGACTAGTATTTATTATACATGTCTGTGGTAGGCACTTTGCAGGCACTAAGCATTCAACGGTAAGCAAAACAAAGCGCAGACACTCTAGGAGCTTAGATTTAACTAGTAAAACAGATAGTGAAATGAATGAATGAGTAGCTTTTATGTCACATGGTGGTGAGTACCAAGGGATAAGGAACACAGTGAGCGTGTGTGCGGGGTCAGAGGTTACGGGCAGTTTTCAGTGTTTGTCGGGCAGACCCGGAAGGCCTCTTTATGAAGGCAGCATTTGCGCAGAGATCTGAAAATGGCCCTGGCAGTGAGCTACGTGAATGAATTTAGGGAAACGTTAGAAATGAAGCTGAGGATGTGTTTTTGTAAAATACTGGTGTTTCTCTTTGTTGTAATTTATGAACCCCCATAACAGCTGGGGAAACCTCTTTTTGACTCAGTTTCTTCGCATGCACACTGCAAGAAGAGGGTACCAGCTGTCTCTGCCTGAGAGAGTTGCTTAGGGATTAAGGATATATTTATGTCATAGACGCACACATACAGGCGCACACATACACGCACGTATAATATGCATGTGTACGAAGTGCTTACAGTTGTATCTGCTGAGACCCAGTGCTGCTCCCGTGGTTATTAGATAACTTTATACCAGAGGAGATCTGCAATCTAGAGTAAAAATTACATGCTTGCTTTCTAACTTCACTTGAATGAAAACGGAGTAATTTTAATAAAGATTTGGTACTATTTAGAGAGTTGGTTCCTATGTTTGAGACAAACCTAATACCAGTTGTTTATGACAGTTTATGGAAGCTTGCTGGTGATGTCACCTCTAAGTCACCAGCTTTGTTTTGGTTTTCTCTCTGGGGCGGCAGGACTGACAACAGAAGCATAAATCAAGTTCACTCTCATGACCTCCTCACCCTTCTCATGAGGGGGAAGCGGCTTTACTTGAATCTATTTTGAAAAATTCATAAATTCATATATATTTATTTGCTATAAATCCCATGCATAGTAACATGTAAGGTCAATGACTAGCACCACGACATAAATTAGAGGTCAACTACGTTTTAGAAAGACTTCAGGGAAACCTCTGAAACATCCAAGGAAGGAATAGTTAGGGAATCAATGAACTGACTTGCGTTTAAGCTTTTGACATTCTTATTTTATATACCATAAGGCTATAATGTACTTTACACTAATGCAAGAAATTACGTTTTACCCACCTTAAAAAAAATCTATAGCCAAAATTGTAATTATTGGAAGAACGCATGTAAATGAAGGTGCGTTCGCATTCATTATTTTGTTGCAGTGTTAGACATTTTGTTTGGCTTTACTCCTTGACATTTTCACCTTTGTTGGAATTGGATTTGTCAGCCTTGTAGCTTGCTGGGGGTTAGTGGTGATATGTGGTAGAGAGGCCGCTTGCTCAGGGTCCATTTTTTTAGGTGCTCTTTGGTGTCAAAATTATAATTTGTAATTATCTTTATAGAGATAAACTTCACAGTAAAAGTCATTAGTTTTGAGATATGTTAGCAAGAATATGAAGAGTGTTGTTATGCTTTTCAGTTTTTAATGCGTTCTCCTGCCTATCAAAGTGTGGTGTTTTGCGAGGACCCATCATCATATCTTTATGTGTTTGCGTTTAATGAGTTGGGACACCAGCAGTTTTGTGTTTGTTCTGTTGGTACATACGTGACCAAGCACACCTTGGGGGTTCCTGGCAGTCCTGAAGGAGAATGCTGATGTCACCCACGCTGGAGGCGGGCCCGGGTGTGCCAGCCCCAAGTGCCTCTCGGTGGACATCCTCCCAGGGCCTCACGCACTCCCAGCAAAGGAATACATCATGATCTTACACGGGTGTATCAGTTGACTTATTGCTGTTTTGTGACCAGAGGGAGGGAGCATTGCTGTTGAAGTCGTGTCATCGGTTCTCAAACCAGCCAGGCATGAAGCCCTGTCATCTGCTCCGTAATTGTAGCTCACCAGACTTCCTCTAACTAGTCAGCGGGGGCTGCGCGTTTTGTCTCAGAGCCCCGGCTGGCCAGCGTGTGACAGGAGCGGCTCATCATCCTGTCAGTGATATGTTAACTAGACTGTGTCTCTGGCCTGGAGAGGCAGGCGGAAAAGATGCTTCTCTGTCGCGCAGATTCAAAATGGTAACTACTGTTTTCACCAGCGTGGAGTTGGTAAATATCACCCACATGAAGGCCGTGAGCACATTAGTTACAGAGATTTGATTGTGTAGCGCCTGTTCTTTTTGGAGCATTTAGAGCAAGCAGTATGCTCCGAGTGCGGGAATTGTGTTCAGACACTGTAATGTCTTCCTTTGTGCTGGCTGCCCCCAGGCATGGAAGCATATGCTTTTCTCTCCTCCTCTCATTAATTTCATCAAGGGCATATGCAAAAAGAAATCTTGGTGATCCCCGGAAAATCAGCTATTAAAATGTAGGTTTTATAGGTTTAGTTAGACTGAAGGGGAATTCAGAGGATTTTCACCTCTCCATCTGGGTTCTACATGTTCTTGATTTGTCTCTTGATGGTGCCACCTGTGTCAACATCCCACCTGAAACCTGAAGCCCAGAGCATCCTTCTGGAGACTAAAAAGCGGAACAGTCGGTGGGAGGACAAAGATGAGCCAGGCCTACTTCCTAGCTGAGATTCCTGAAGTGTGTTTTCCTCCTTGTGTTTTTAAAGCTACTGCAGAGGTGCAGTTAAAAATTGTTGTCTAGACCCCTGAAGGAGAGGCATTCTAGGAACAATCTGTAGATGTTTTAATTCTCCCCGAAGCCCATAGCAACCAATTGTGTCAGCTGAAACTGTAGATAAGGATTCTACTTACCCGTGTACGCTGCTATTCTGATCATCGTGTTTCCATTCAGCGCTAAGGAAGGGGCTGAGGTGTGGAAATAGGGCTGTCGAGGTCGTCACATGGCACTGTGTTGGGAGATGCGTTTGGAGGCTCTTGGAAGGGAACTTGTAAGACAGGAAACTGGAGGCGTTTGCATCTTGCAGCCCCTGTGGTGATAAGAACTAGTTTGCATAGAAATAAGCACACACTTCTGCTTCATGGTTTACTCCATTTGTCTTCTAAAAGTAGACAATTGACTTTTCACTTAAAAATAAAAAATTTTAGGGGTGACCGGTTAACGCAATTGATTAGAGCGTGGTGCTAACAACACCAAGGTTGCTGGTTCAATCCCCGCATGGGCCTCTGGGAGCTACAACCTCCTTAAAAGAGTCAACTATGCCATTGTAACATGAAAGCAACGTGTAACCAATGACCATGGCTATTCCCCAATAAAAATTAAAAAAAAATTTTAATGTAAAAATTAATGGAATTATCTAAGGGGTCTAGTAAGTTATCATTTGCTAGGTTCTAGAAGCTTTGTTCCCACACCTACTGTGATCCCCACAAAAACGCCGTCAGAAGATTTGGTTTACTGTAGTATTTTCTGTATAGCGTGACTTACCTTTGTGCTGTTAGTGATTTCCAGTGTTAAATAT